CCCCCCATTTCCATTCAGTGCAGACTTGAAAAGTAACCGAAATGGGAGCAGCGGGGTCATACCTCCGCTACAGTATTTGCACTGTGGTCACGGAAGGCCACTTAAGGTTCCCTGCTACTATCTAGCTTCCTCCCACTACCACTCAAACTTCCACTGCTGGGTTTTGTCCCCTGGGACGCAGCGCCTCATCTGGGCATCCGTGCGGCCCGTCGTTGTGCGGTAGGCTGTCACGCACATATCTGAGTGTGGATGATAGATGGTCCTGTCCTGAAAGGTTGGAAGTTAAAAGCGTGGAGTCAGTTTACAGGAAACTGTGAACCTGTGGCACACACATTCATGAATCCCTTACCTCTTTGAACTCCCAGATGAGACTGGGAGGTCTGACTTCCTCATCACGGGGGCAGTGCCTCATTCCGATGGAGGTCTGTCCTTCCAGTACTTCGGCACACAGCTCTGTCACAGAGTTGAAACGGATCTCCTTTTGAGATGTGTATTCAAAATACTGGAGCGAGAAAGAGACACAGTTATTTGGCCATTTTTTCTCCATTTACAGTTAAAATGTATTTCTTTGACACAAGCTTATATTCACACATTTCTCTGAAAAGAAGCAGAGACTAAGAGATTAAAACTTTTCCTTCTTCTTTCTTCTGCTACATCTGTCTTTTGTGTAGAAAGCCAATTAGTGCAGTTTGGTATTTTTTTTATTACCCACTAGGATTACAGGATGTTTTACTCTGCTGTTGCGCCACGGCTATAAATGCACTATATGGTGCGTCGGCGAGTGTGTCGAGGGATCTCATGAGCAAAGTCGGGGCCTTGGCCCTTTCAATCAAGCAGACATGAGCACAAACCCGACTCTTCCCCTCTGGTGTCATTTCAACAACCTGGTCCGGTGGGACAAAAGATGCAATGCTCCCTGTGCTACCCGTTAAGCGGAGGGTCAGGTAATCAATCTTTATACTTCCCCATCCTTTTCTTCACATCTCATACATCTTTCAGTTGCACTGGGGCCCCGTTATGGTCGTTTCTAATAAAAGACTTACTCGGGGTCCACTGTCTCTGGCTTCAAACTTATTTATCCAGGCTGTGCCATTCATTCTGCCCGTGAGGCTCATGTATCTTTTAAATGGAACGTGGTTCTTATGTGTGCCAGGAAAAGGGGCAGGATCGAGGTGGTGAAGGGCCTTCAGGTTTTTGTTTCACCGAGAAGCCATTCAAACATTGATTTTCAGTCACACATGGCGCTTTTTGTGACTGAGGACACCTGATGCGGCGCATCAATGGGGTAATCAGAGATAACAGCCAGGTTGAAGATCCACAGAAAGAAGTTCTGCCTATTGTCTGACTCCAACATTAAATATACATTCTTGCAGATAAATAATCTGGTGCTTTCTAAACCAGCCGTTACTGGAATTGGAAAAAGAAATGTGCACCTTTTTTTCCAGCTATGTTTGGATGCAATACCACATTCAGTTTTCCATTCATTACATTCAAGTCATGTTGGACACACCAGCAGAGAGTAATTTTCTGGTGTGAATCAACTGTGGCAGCTTGTTTTAGGGGTTAGCAGAAAGTCTTGACATTTCAAGATATATCTCCCACGGGGGCCACAAGAAGCTGTGGGATTGTGTCAAGAAAGAATAAACACTGAAATGCCTGACGTACCTGGTTGCCTCCTTGGCCGTGGCAGCCGAAAAGAGAAATCTGGGAACCTGTGGGACTGTGCTCTGGAGCGTTGTAGTCAAGGCACTCTGAATGTATTCCTGAGCTACGCACCTGGCAGGAAGAGAGCAGCAAATATTAATAACAAGTGAAATGCGGCACTGTTTATCGATTCCTGTGAGGACTCTTTTTTTCTTGGATTTATTCTTTGCTGGCAGGTTAGACTTTAAGGCCACGTAGGATGCAACACCCCTGAAGATGGTGGATTCAGTCATCTGATTAAATCATTAAATGACGGTATATCAACAGGAAGCGAAAACAAATTGAACCTTTGCCATTTTGCTTATTTTCCACAGCAGTACACATATATTAATCAATATGAAATAAAACTTACTTTCGCCCAGTTTCATAAGAAAATGTAAATTTTTCTTTGTCTGAGTAATGCCGTTCTTTCAGGTTTTGTCACCGTGTACCTGTAGTGTGGGTGTGCATGCAAATTTCAGACAGTTCTGACAGCAGAACATTTGAGATTTCGGACGATGCCCTCGCTGTAGCATTTGACTTCACAGCTGTCACTGGGAAATGTGTGTCGACGTGGACAGGTGGTGGATTTTTGGACATTATAACTAAAGAAGAAATCTTTGAGGGAATTTTCTTTTTCGCTTCAGAAAAAAATCAGAAACATTGCTGTGGCTAAAATGTAATTGTTTTAAAATCCAACACTGAGCCAAGAGCAATTTTTCTGTAAAGCATTTTATAACAGGAGACTTCACCAGATGTCTGAATTAGAAAGGTCTTGAGCCCAGTCAAATGGATTTCAAAGCCTTGCCACTTTCAACGGAGTTTTCTCATATCATGTCTCACCCGAATACTTTTGTTTCACACTTGAATGATGAATGAAGACACAGCCGCATTGCTGTCTTTTATAAATCACAACAAGATCTGCCATCAGTCCAAAAACTAAATAATTAATCTTGCACTAACGGGATCAATAACAGAATTCAGACACAGCATCTGAAAAGGAGACACTTACAGCCCCGTGCCAGCCCTCCCTGTCCTCGGGTACATGTAGTTCAGGGTAGATATTCTTCAGATACCACTCAAAGCTGTTGCATTTCAGCTTCTCCCTCAAAAGTAGCCGTTCTGAAATATTCCCATATTTCTCCTGTGAAGCAACCACACAATGCATGAGTCACTGCTGTGGGTGAAAAAGCTGGTTAGATTTAGGAGAGTTTATTAAGAATGGTAAATGGTAAATGACCTGTATTTGTATAGCGCTTTTCCAGAATGTACATTTATGGACAGTATCGCTTTATTTATACATTGCAGCTACATTTTAATCATTAGAGCATGCACACTTTTCTTTAAATATACACTGTATGGACAAAACTACTGGGTCACTAACACATTACACCTACAGGAGCTACTGGAAACCATGCAATGAAGTTCCCTGTGCAGTTTTTCTGTAGATGTTAATGCCAGAGGTTGTTTGGAGCTCAGCAGAGCATTATTTTTTAAGGCTTTATTAGCCTTACACTATATGTCTGCTCAACCTTGTGAGTTAAACTGATTCTCAGGGCCCATTACTTTTGTACATACAATTTACATAAGAATTTTGACAACACAATTGATGGGTGTTTTCATAAAGGACACAGTTAGACTTTTAAAGCAAATATTTACATCCTGGATATGAGAGGTGAATCCGGCTCCTGTAACTCCAAAAATCAAGTTCAAATAAGAATCTAAGGAAGCCAACTAGGTTATTGCCAACAATGCATGTTTTAAATAGCTGTGTTTGCTAAGGCGTGAAGTCTACCCTAGGAGTCTAGAGTTATTCCTTTGGCATGTTTGAGGATGGATTATAACAAGACAACACCGCCTAACACACACACACACACACACACACACACACACACACACACACACACACACACA